GAGATTATGTAAAGGTGCAAATTTCCAATGATGAATGTCATCATATTGTATACCTAAATGTACCAATAAATTTAATTTAAAAAAAAAAAAAAGAGGACTTAGCTCCTCATTGGTTATTGATAGGAGACCATGGTCCTCATCAAACCTTTCCATTGGACTACTTGTTTCCTCAAAAAATGGCAGTTGATTAACCCGAGTGACCCAATGAAGAGGAAGCAGAGCTATAATGTCTTTTAAGACCTAGTCTCAGAAATTGCATACTGTTACTTTTGCCATACTCTGTAGTTACAATGTGGGAGAGATCTATAAAAGGGTATGAATATTGGAAGGCATCACTAGTGAGCATTTTGGAAGCTGGCTACTGCAAACCTAAGTGTTCATTAACTGATTAACAGGTAAACTGTGGTCACATTCATGCAGTACAACAATAAGCAGTAATGAAAAAGGAACACACTACTGATACATGCAAGAGTAAAACTCACAAATGAAGTTACTCTAAGTGAAAGAAGTTGGACAAGTCTGTATAATTATATTTATAATGACATTCTGCAAAAGACAAAACCAAATGGACTCAAAACAGATCAGAAGTTATTAGGGGCTCAGAATGGGGCAGAAACTTTTGGGCAAGATGGAAAAGTTCTATATTTGATTGTAATGATATTTATATGGTTGGGTTTTTTTTTACTAAAATTCATAGAAATGTACACCTAAAAAGGATGAGTTTTATTCTACGTAAATTATACCTCAATAAATACTCATAAAAAGAAGGGAATCTTGAAGGGAAAGAGGTTTGGATGATGAGATGGTTACTGAAATCTTAATGTATAACTAATAGAGAAGTTTCTGAGAAAGATGACTATGAAACTAATATGTAATTTAAGTTCCTCAAGCTAAAGAGATTCAGCTGAATTTGAGTCTACAGGCTGAAAATAACTGATTGAATTATAGGTTAGGTAGATCAGAAAAGATAAACATATCTTTCTCTGGTACATGCTACCAGGAAACTTGAACTCCAAGGATAAAGAGAAAAATCTTAGATGCGCCCAGAAAAAACAAGTTACTTAGAAAAAAAAAGAAAGAGGTATGGCCCTTTCCTACCCTCAGTATGGAACAAGAGGATAATGAAATAATAGTCAAATGTTTTAAAAAAAATTCTTTGGGGATTTGTGATACCTTGGCTCACAAACTTTATTCTTTCCATGATTCTGGTCACAAACCAAATTGGACAAGAACTGAATCAAATTCAATGGTTAGGGTCAATGTTGATCTTATGGGGAAATTTGATTTGGTTCTTGTCTAATTTGGTTTGCAACCAGAATCATGGAAGGAATTAAGTTTGTGAACCGAGGTACCACTGTACAGTCACTCAAAAAATGTACCACTCCCTTATCCTATTTAGGGAAATAGCCATCAAAAAAAAAAAATCCTTATTAAATAACAACTGAATTATGACAGAGATATGGGGGGATAAAGAGCAGACCTTATGAGATGAAGTTAAATTTAACTAGATTTAAATACAGCAATTAAGAGATATATAATGAATGAAAATCCAGATCATCAGAATTAAAATGAAGCATCTACACGACAAGAATATTAAAGTTAGCCCAGTGTATAAGGATACTGTGAGTAACTATTATCAACAGTTTTTTGGCTTTGTTTTGCTTTACCTGGTTTGCAAGATGAGAGTGACCAAACAGCTTGTGACCCAATTTCCCTTACTGTTCCAGTTCTTTCCAACTGCTTAGGATCAGCACCAGGAGGTGTCTTGTTTGGTGTGGTCATTTTGAAAATATTCTACATAGAAAGAAAGAATATGTACATTATGCTGAGATCTGAGTATTTTTCTGTAAAAGGTAAAAGAAATTAATAGCAAAATGGATCGGTCATCTGTGGCATGTTTCCTAACTTTGGTTAATCTTACTAAATCTATGCAAATGTGAAAAAATACTTGTTGGACAATGAAGGGTAGGTCAGTCTGCTTTGGTGAAGCAGTTACTTTTACAGAACATTATCACAAATGCAAAACAATTCCAAAAGTTCTACATACCATCTCCTTGATACTTTCCATTAGATCCTAAATTGCTTCCACGCTGCCACGCAAACACTTCTCATTAAGTAAAAGCAGACAATGTACTGTAAACTTCGGATAGGCCCGTGACTTTAATGCTGAATAAGTAATTTATTGAATGAATAAATGGATAAACAGGTCCAATCATAAACGAAGCCTGTAGCCATCATTACAAGCCAAACGGCCTAATATCTAAAAATAAAATAAAATAAAATAAACCATCTCGGGCCAGGGATTTAGCTCAGCGTTTCCGCCGCCTGCCTCGCAAGCGCAAGGACCCGAGTTCGATCCCCGATACCAAAAAACAAACTAACAAACAAACCATCTCTATATTGGAGCAGAATTCAACTGTCGGACTTGGGACTACCCGCCACCAAGTGGACAAAACAGGCAGCTCAGAGAAGACTGGATTCCTGGCCTCGAAAAACTGACCACACAATACAGAGAGCTGAGGCCGAAGACAAAGCGCCACCGCGAGCACAGTCAGGATATGCTCTGTTGGTCCAGCTTGACACCACGGGTGTACTAGAATAACTCAGGCTCCACACGTGGCCCACCAGCCTTGAGGCGACCGCGAGTGTAGAGAGACTGAAACTGGGGAGAAAGCATCTACTTACGATGGGGCCTCTCTACACTGAGGCAAATCGTACTTACAGCTTCCAGTCTTGCTTACCCCGACTCAGGCTCTCAGGAGCTTCTGCAGATCCGCGCCACTCCCACTCATCTTCCTAGAAACGCCCGGCTTCCCCATGACGTAATTGAGGGTCGCAACACAATGACGTCACATGCTGCCTCTACTTTTAGGGCTCCGCCTCGCGCGCTATCGCGCACGCGCTCTACGTTCTATGGCTTGCGCGAGGCGGCGGCTGCGCACCGCCATTTTGGCCGGTGGCCGTAGTAACACGCTGTGTGTTCAAGACTTGAAGGCAAGATTTCTTGTGGGCTCTGTGCTCCCCAACGCAAGGGGATAGTTTTCTCCAGGTACGTGAATAGGTGAGAGGGGTTTGGCCTTTAGTCGCTGCCTGCCACTTTGGGAAGACTGCAGTGATGTTCTCCAAGAGCCTGTGGTTAGGCCTTGGGTGGCGGTGGCAGACTGCAGCGGCGCGTGGCAGCCGGCGCCGGCGGGACAGCTGGAACCGCCAGAGCGCGGGCGGCGCCCAGAACTCGCTGGCTTCTCGCGCTTCCTTTCCCAGTCCCAGGCGCTCGCTGCTGCTGTCTATCCCCAGCCTGCGCTTCGAGAATGCTCCTAGGTGTCATCGCCTCCGAGAACGAATGTGTACCCCTGTACTTCTCTCCCCTGCTGCCACCCTGGAGCTAATCCACTGGAGAGGAAAGCACTTTCAGAACTTAGAGCATCCTCCAGACTCCTGGGTTCCTCTTCCAGAAAAATGGAATACGCATATGTGTATTTGATCGTGGGAAGTTGTGGCTTTTCTTCTTTGGTGATGGTGGAATGAGTCATGGCATCTTGCCGCCATGAAGTCGAATCCTCCTGGTCCACTCCCAGGATTTATAGAAATGATGGGCAAACGTCGCTCTGAGTTTCTCATAGAGCAACATGTACTTGGCTGTGATTGAAGTTATCCCAAGTAGCTTCCCGGTTTAATTCTTAAACCTTATTTTGGAGGTCACTTTAATGGCACTCTGCACATTTTCCCTTGGTGACTTAATCATTTTTCCCTTTATACTATCTTAAACTTCATGAGATCAAGGTTAGTGGCTTTATTCAAAATATCTTTGGATTTAAATTCAGAGCTTTGTACAGTCTAGGTACATAGTATTTGTTGTGAGTGAATGATGGGAAAAGCCGAATCCCCACATCCCATGCACTACAAAAGTAATTTACTTTTTTTTTTTTTTGGTACCAGGGATCGAACTCGGGTCCTTGCGCTTGCAAGGCAAGCGACGGAACCACTGAGCTAAATCCCCGGCCCAGTAATTTACTTTTTTTGACAGTAAAATCAATGACTAAGGAGTAACTGTCAAAACAACTTTGTTTTATTTTTACCTTCATTTCTACCGCTAACCAGGCAGTTATGATTGTGGCATCTATGTTGCAGTCATTAGTCCTGTATGCTGAGATTCATTCTATACCAGGCACTTGGCGACAATGTTTTCATTGTAAGGCTCTTATCTGTATTTAAGTCAATTAAGTGTTTTGGATTTTATTTTTAACTTAAAACTTTATTTAATTTTTTTTTTTAAGAAGAGCATTTAACAGTTGCCAGAGGGAGGGAACCCATTGCAATCAAAGCTGTGCACCTTTCCCAACTTACTGTGCTTTATAAGACTCATAATCAGCAGTAAGCATAGGTTAGAATACTTCTTGTGATATCAAGCATTATTAGGTAACAGCAGTCTCTAAATGCTTTTATTCAACATTGTGATGATTCTGATGTTAAACTGTAAATGCTTTCTGTGTTTATGCCTCACTTTCTTTTTTCTCTCAGCTGAGAGATGACAGTGAGGCACATTTTGTACAGCTTATCCTCAGATCTAAAATATCTTAAAAATCCCTTTTTATTCCTAGGAATGTGTTCATGTAATCTTCCCACTGGGCTTCACTCTTCTAAAGATTTCCTGGTAGAAAAGAACTCTTTTTTCCTAATCCTTGAAAATAATGTAGAAATTGAACTAATAATGTTTGCATGATTAATAGTTGTACAAAGAATCTATATTCATTTTTCTTAAATGCATTGTAATTTTTCACTGTTTTTGAAATCCCACCTTTTTTATGTCTTTTTAGCCACCTTTGGTATGTTTTTATTCCTCCATGAACATCTTTTTATAAATCTCTTTATTTTTAGAATAGTTTGAAAAGTGAAATGTTTTAAATGAAATGTTTTAGTAAATTTATGGAAGCTTTATTTTTCATTATAAAAGATGCATTCCCTGCTAAAATTCACCACAAGGTAATTTATAGAAAGGCATTCAGCATTTAAATTAGAATGCATAGTGTCCAGTTTTATTAGTTGTTAGGAAGTTGTCATTGTTTAGGATGATACCTTTTTTGTAGTAATTCAAGCCAATTAATTTCTTCTTCTAAGACAAGAAATTTAGTCCCGGCCTTCCTTACAAGACCTGGACCAGTATTTTAAAAAGTAAAGCGAAAAAAAATAATAATAATAATAAATTTTTTTAAAAAAAAAAAGTAAAGTGAACCCATGTGTTAACATAGTTCTGTTTATTATAAAACTATAATTTCCTCCAGGTGATTTTTTCATTCCCGTATATAGTTTAGTGGAAAACTAAAATACTGGTTTTTATGTCACCATAAAATATTGGTAACATGCAAAACTTTGGAAGTTGTTATAACCTGGAAGAAAATTATATAGTATTTAAATTCATTTTCTTATTCATTTAACAAATGTTTTTGCTCCTATTATATGCTAGGCACTGGTGTAGCCACTGAAATGGACAAAATTCGAAATCTTCTTTCCTTGTGATGATGAAGTACATTCTATTTGGAGGAGGGAAAAAACGTATATAGAGAGAACACATATATAGATATGTACGATAAATTTGTGTGTATATATTGCATATATATGTGAAATACATAGTATGTCATATCATAGAGGTAAGGAGAAAAATAAAGCAAGAAAGAAGAATAAAAAGGCAGTTGGGTGTATTTTTTGATAGAATAACTAGAGAAGACTCCCTAAGACACAGTAAAGCCTTGAAGGACTAACCTATGTTATTCTCTAGGGGGAAGAATGTTATAGGCAATAGGAAAAAAACTGCCAAGATCCTGGAGTAAGAACATATCTGGTATATGCTAGGGACAGTAGGGAGCCAGTCTGGCTGTAGCCAATAGAATAAGAGCTAGAATAGTTGGAGACCAGATCAGAAAGTTAACAGAGGCTGAGCAGTACCTAGTTGATAACTTTAAGGACTTTGGCTTTTACTCAGGCTGAGAAGGGAAGCCATTATAACCTTTTTAAGTAGAACGATAGGATTTGACATACTCTCTAAAAGGATGACATACTCTAGTTACTAAGAGTTCTGTTGAAGGTTGGAGTAGAGGAGATAAGGGTAAAAAGAAATCTGCCAGAAAGCTATTAGAGCAATGCAGCTAAGAGATAGTGTACGTCGCTCATACCAGAGTCATGAGAAATGGTCAGATTCTGAGGGTACTTTGAAGGTAAATTCAGTAGGATTTACTGTTGGTGGGGAGGGGGAGATGACTTCAATAATTTTAGCCTGAGTAAGTGGAGGCTGGCTTGCCATTTAACAGCATGGAAGGCTGCTGAAGAAAAGGATTTTGGTGAGGTATAAGGGCTGATTTGGAGAGATGCCTACTAGACCTACAAGAGGAAGTGTTTTGTAGCCAGAAAGAATATGTGGAGTGAAATTAAGATGCTGAATGTAGGCAGTTCTTTAATGGTAAAATACTGGAAAATGATAGGGTCAGATAATATAGAATGCTTGACTGCTGGTAGGAGTGAACCAGTAGAATGATTGATGATGCAAAAGACGAGAGAGAATTTTGGGAACGTTTTTAGGAACTGTATTGTAGTGTACAAATGGCCTTAGCTAGGGAAATACACACATATGGCCCTCCACATCTGAGGGTTCTGTATCCACAGATTCCACATTTGCAGATTCAACCAACTATTGATCGAAAACATTTGGAAAACATTTGTATCTTTGAGAACATATCCAGATTGTTTTCTTGTCATTATCCCTGCAATACAGTATAAAAACTGTTTATATTGTATTATTGTGCACAATCTATATATGACTTAAAATATACAGAAGGGTATACATAGGTTATATACAAATAGTGTGCTCACTTGTATAAGGTACTTGAATGTTCTCAGAATTTGGTGTCAACAGGGGTCACGAGGGTCTTGAAAGCCTTCCCCCGCAGATACTAGTTGACATGGGATACTGGTTATTTCTATCCATTTTCATCTGCACTTGTGCAAGTGAATAAATTTGATTTAATCAAGGTTGTAGTTGAGGGTACAGATGATTAAAAGTGGAATTTTAGCTGTATAACTAGGGAAATGAAAATACCAAGGGCTAAGGGACAGAATGTAGAATAATAAGGTAAGAGAGTTCATGGATTCCTATGTTCTAGGAGGCTGAGCTGAAAAGATAGAAGAAGTAGTCAGAAGCTAGGATATTCAAAATTGAGTTTGTGAAAGGATTGCAATTATTGGTAATAGAAGGTCTAGAGTTTGACCAAAGAAGTGGCTGTGATAAAGTAGGAGATAAGTTATTGGAAGAAAAGTTTTAAGAAACTAGGTGGACAAGCTGTTAATAGAATGATCATCTGTGAGCATATTGAAATAACAAAGAACTATGTCAAGAGTTGTAAAAAAGAAAAAGATGAAAATTAGCCAAGTACTGAAATCTTCAAAGAATGAAAGAAAGTGTTCTTCAGGAAGGAAGGAGAGAGAATACTCTAGGACAGCACTGAAGAGCAAGATCTCTTGTCCTCCTCCAAGCCTAATCATATTGATGGTTGTGAAAAAGACTTGAGAGGTCTACAAGGGGAAGCAGTCTTCCCAAAAATCATCAGCGTCGAGGATCACAGAAAAATCCAACAAAATATTTTTGTAAATGGATAGTCTTTTGGTCTCAGGTTCCTTTG